AAAACCAATTCGAGCCCACTGAATTCACAGTGTTTCCTTAAGGAATTTAATCCCCTCCTAGTACCTAAGGTTATGGATTATTTCCTCCCAGGATAGAACGAATTACACACTGGTGTAGTGGTACTTCAAACCCCAGTGTTTCAGCGAACACAAAGTTCGGTAGCAAATCACACTTACTTTTTGCTTTGTTTGATGCTAAAAGTATGCAGAAGAAGGAGAAGAAACTCAGAAAATCGTAGTGAAATTCTGAGCAGAATAGTGTTGTATTTATAGCCAAAGTTAGGCTGAAATCTGAAGAGGTGCAACTCTTCAGAATGGCTGTTTATGCAAAACGCCCACAGCATAAATGCCATTACATAAATGGCCATTTACTCAATAATAAAGAGGGAAAATAAAGAGGGAAAATTGAAGAGGGTAGTTACTTTTCTGTTACCAAAATAGAAAAACGAATTGGATTTAATATTAATATTTAATATTAATATTTTGTTATTAAAACAAATATTTAATAACATTTCTGTTAATATTTTACTATTAACAAATAAATTTGGTCCAAAAAGTTAATCAATCAATCGATCATTTGACAAAATCCAAATCCAAATCCGAATCCGAATCCGAAGCCGAAGCCGAAGCCGAGCCGAGCGAGCGACGACGACGACGGCGCGAGGCTTGCCTTCTTCTCAACTCTTTAAGAGCTAGAAGAAGAGCAATTGCTTATATACCCATAAAAAACCTCTTCCTCTTCCAATATGGGACAATGCCTATTTGCCAAGGGGGGGAGCTTAAAATTTCACTCAAAAATTTTATTTCCCTCCATTTTCCATTCACCCTCTTTTAAGTATTTAATATATTAATTAAACACATCCAAAACCTAACAATTAGTCACACTCAATGGTGGAGCTAAAAGAGTTCAATCGAAACCTTCTTTTCGAAAATTATAAGCTAGCAAATCCTTTATTATATATATAAACTATTGAAACCCTAGGTAGGAAGAATGTAGCAATTTTGCATGTTTTAATTCCTAAAGTCAGGTGAAGATATGGCGGGGAGTCTGGTGGGAGGTGCGGCTTTGGGACCAGTGTTTGATATATTCCTCAAGTCCGTTATAGACGTTGGCCTAAGAGTTGCCACTTTCCGATCCAAGATGAATAAGACTCTTGAATATATCAAGCCTGTATTTGAGGACATAGAGAATCTGAACAGGAAGTTGGAAGGCCGAGATCAAGATATAGAACTGCTCAAGAAGCAGTTGCAGGATGGGGAGAAGCTCGTGCTCAAGTGCTCCAAAGTTTTTTTTTTTTTGGTAATAAATGTGAATATTACCATAACAACCAAATGCTTTACATCCTATGAGCATCAAGTGTACTAGCACTTCTAGTACAACAAGACCTCGAACAAAAAACAATACCTCTTCTAAGTACAAAGTTCCCTGACTTTAGAATTTATAAACTACAAGAATCCTACCTACAGACACCTTCCTAATTACATAATCTTTGTATCATCAGTGGACATTGCTTTGCTCTTTTAGACTCTGCAAACATGCCTATTCTGTCCACCATCTCCTTCTTGATTTGCCCAACACAAAACTCCAGATTCAGGCTAATTTGTCTGAATATTCTCCAGTTCCTTGCTTGCCAAGTGTGGTATACAATTGCTCCTATAATTGTTGTTGCAACCTCCTTCCTTATTTGCTTCTAATGCCTTCTTTTAATCCACTGTATCATCTCTGTTGTTGCCATGTTTGGTAAACTGATTGCTGCCCAGCTAGTCAGAGCATCTCGCATGTTTTTAAACCAGCAGCAATCCCCAAACAGATGCTGCTGTGTCTCTATCACTCCCAGGTCACACATGCAACATTCAGCATCACCTGTGATAGGAATGTTCAGCTGCACTAGTCTGCTTTTGGTTTGCATTTTTTGTTGGTATGCCAGCCACAGGACAAATCTGTGTCTTGGTAGCAATACCCTACTCCATATCAAATCCGCTTCCCTACACCTTGACAAATGTCCTAGCATTACATTGTAGCTGCTAGATACAGAGTAAACTCCATTGCTTGTCAGCCTATATGTACTTCCATTATACCATTGTACCATATTATGCTTTAAACTGTTTATCTTCTACCAATACCAACAACAGTCAGAGGGTGGATTATGCTCCCAAATGCTTCTACATGATTTCATATACACCTCATATACCCATCTCACCCACAATACCTCCTTGTTTGTCACTAATTTCCATAGTAGTTTTCCAACAGAAGCTATGTTCCATTTCTTACAGCCCTTAATGTTCAATCCACCATATTTCTTTGGCCTGCATATTACCTCCCATGATACCAATGCCATCTTCCTTTGCCCTTCTGTAGTACCCCATAGATACTCCCTGCATTTCCTATCAATTTCTCTTATAACACTTTGTGGGAGTATAAAGACAGCCCCCCAAAAGTTGTACATTGCAAACAGCACTGAATTGATCACTTGCAATCTACCTGCATATGAAAGTATCTTAGCATATCCTGCTTGAATGTTTGTAGTGATCTTCTCTACTAGCTGGTGACACTCTACTTTGCTCCACTTCTTTGATGTTAGTGGAAGCCCCAAGTATCTCATAGGTAATGTACCCACTGAGAATCCTGTATCTCTCACTATAGTCTGTTTTGTTGCTTCATCCATTCCTGCTAGGTATATGTTTGATTTCTCCATATTAGCTACCAACCCTGACACTGCACTGAAATGATTCACTACTTCCAGCATCCTATGGATAGATTGCTTGTTACCTTTGCAGAACAACATCAGATCATCTGCAAATATCAAATGTGTCAATTTGGTAGACTTACACATGGGATGAAATCGGAAGTCTGGTAATTCACTCATTTTGTTCAACCCTCTTGTTAGGTACTCCATGACAAGTACAAATAGTAGTGGAGACATAGGATCACCCTGCCTCAACCCTTTTTTTCCTTCAAAGTAGCCATATCCTGCACCATTCACTTTTACAGTGAAAGTAGTTGTAGTAACACACACCATAATCAATTGGAGAAATGGCATTGGAAAACCATAACCTCTAAAGACTTCCTCCAGAAATTCCCACCTAACCATGTCATATGCTTTCTTAAATCAATCTTCATCAAACATCTAGGGGTTGTCTTCCTATTATAATGTCTTAGAAGATCATGGCATATTAGCATATTGTGTATAAGTGATCTTCCCTCAATGAATGCTGCTTGATTATCAGCTACAATCATAGGAATGGCTTTCCTCAATCTAGTACAAATGATCTTAGAAATGCATTTGTAGATGACATTACAACAAGCAATAGGTCTAAATTGGCTTGACTGTAAGGGATTCTTCACTTTTGGTATAAGAGCTATACTGGTAGAATTTATCTGACTAAGTAATTCTCCATTCTCAAGAAATTCTAACACTGCCTTGGTCACATCCTCTCCAATTACTGACCAAGCTGCTTTATAAAATCCACTCCTATACCCATTTGGACCTGGACTTTTAGTATCATTTATACTGAACATTGCTTTTTTCACTTCTGGCCCTGTGTAAGATCTTACCAATTGTAGTTGTTGAGTAATTGATAGAATTTTCCCATTCTTCAAAAAACTCTGAATGGCATAATCCCTGAATCTTCCCTTTGTCCCCAATAGCTCCTGATAATATTCCACAAATATTCCTGCTATCTCTTCCTGCTCAGTTTTCATGTCTCCAGTCTTATTAGTAAGTTGGATAATTGCTTCTTGCAGCCTCCTGTGCTTTATTACTAAGAAGAAGTATCTGTTATTATCATCTCCCAGCTTGATCCAGGTAACTTTGCTCCTTTGTTGAAGGTATACCTCTGCCAAGTAGGAAGATCTTTTGAATTTTTGGAACTTCTGATGTTCTTCTTTCTGAAGCTCAACATCCAATGGATTTTTATGAAGTTCAGCTTGGGCTACAGACAATGCCATTCTGTCTGCATCAGCTTCCTCAATAATATTGCTGAAATAATTCTTATTCAGCATCCTCAATTCCTTCTTCATCATTTTTAGCTTTCTAACCACTTTGAACATACTACATCCCTCAACTTCCTGCTTCCATCCCTCATTTACTATATCTATAAAGTTTGGATGAGAGGCCCAAACATTACAGAATTTGAATGCAGCTTTTGCCCTCCTTGGTGAATTAACATTTGATAACTTTAGTGGACAATGGTCACTTATCCCTTCCTCTAGATAACAAGCCATATATGCTGGCATTAAATTGAGCCAAGCTGTGTTAATGAATACCCATTCTATCTTTGATAGGATCCTGTTGTCTCCATGTCTATCATTCCAGGTATACCTGCTCCCACTGGTTGGCAATTCAAGTAGCTCACATTGCTCTATGCACTGTTGGAAATCTACTATTTCAGCCAAGCTTACAGGATTTCCTCCCACTTTATCATCAGTATGTAGCACAGAGTTAAAGTCTCCCATGACTATCCATGGACCCCCTACATTCTTACTCACAGTGTCTAGGTAGTTCCACAAGCTTCTTCTTTCTTCCTTTGTGTTGAATGCATAGACTATAGTCATCATGAAGCCCATCTGCAACCTGTTATGACTCACCATACATGTTACTGCTTGATCAGTCATTATAATCAGAGTTACTTTAAAACAATCCTGTCTCTATGCCAACCAAATTCTTTCATTATAGTGTTCCCTCAAGTTTGTTATACTCCTCCATCCTCCAAATAGCTTATTAGCCACTTGGTTGAATTTATCAGACTTTGTTTTTGTTTCTACCATGCCTATCAACCCTATCTCTTCTTTATTACAAAGGAGTTTTACCTCCTTTTGCTTGTTAGGGGCATTCATACCCCTAACATTCCAGCATAGAATGTTATCCATTACTTCTAGGAAGTAATGCTTTCCCTCCCACATTCCCCTCCCCTTTGCTGTTACCCCCAGCTCCATCAATGTCATTTGACTCAAGTACCTGAAAATTATTGTGATAACTTCTATCTCCAGCTTCCCTCCCCTGCTGTATTTGTCTACTAGTAGTTCTTGTAGCATTGCTGGGTGTTATCCACCCTGCATTTTCCTGCTTTTCCTGCACTTTTTGCTTTCCAGTCTCCATCATGTTCCTTTGTATTTTGCTAGTTTCTTCTCCATCCTTGCTAGCTGTTGGTTTGTTCATTTGTTCTGTTGGTCTTTTCTCCTTTTTTCCATTACCCTCCTCTGTTGGTTTAGCATCTGCAGTTTGGCTTTTTGTTTTGCAAACTTGTTCATCATGTCTATACTTTCTACATGCTTTACATAATGTTGGCTTCCAATCATATTGTAATTTCTGCTCCATTAATAACCCACGCTTATTCTTAAAGAACACTTTGTCTGGTAGTTGGTATCCATCTGAACTTCAATTAAGAGACGTGCAAAACTGAGCCCCATCTTCTTCTCTGTGTGACTATCTACCATCAGTGGTCTACCAATTAAACTGCCAATCTTGCTCAATCCTTTAGGGCTCCAATACTTAAAATCCAACCCAGGTAGTTTAACCCATATAAGAACAATGTACAACTCCTCTTTTGTGAATTTCATATCCACATGTCAAGCTTTCACAATAAATGGCTTGTAATCAAAGTGGTAAATGCCACCTTGTAGTACTTCATTTTTCCCTACGATAGAATCAAATCGCACTATTACTATCCTATTTTTTAACATAGAGACCCTGTTTTTGCCATGTTTTCCCCAAATTCTTATTACATATGCATTAAGTACTGTGAATGGTGTGTGAGCTCCCAGAACATAGCACACAACTGCAGTTTTCCAATACTCAATTTCAGAGCTAATGTCCTCTGCCTCAATTTCACAAACAGGTGCCTCATCATGTATTGCGGGTTCTACAAATTCAAGTTTAAATCCAGCATTAGTTACCTTTGGTATATCAAAATTATCCCATATAGATCCCCTAGCATTTAGTTCTGGTGCGATCTCTGCTTCATCTGCCCATGACAGTTTCCCGCTCCCAGCTTCTCATTCTAACAGTTTTGTTGATGTCCTCGATGAACCCTCACCCAATTCTGTAGTCCTCGTTCCTGGTGATCTTAGAATTGGTGAAGTTTCACTTACTTGAACTTCAATTTCCTTTTGCTCAATCAGCTCGACTCTACATGTTACCGTTTCATTGAATTCTTCCTTTTCAAGCTGCTTTCCTGGGCTTTGAATTTGTTTCCATTTCTCGTCCTTCTTCCTTTGCTGAAATTCTATGGTTTCTCTCGCCATTATCGCCTTCTGCGATGGATTCCGAGCTCTCTTCCCATGGTGGCGCACGTTAGGCTAACATACGCTGAGAGAGAAAACCAGCAATTATTTTGGACCAAGTGCTCCAAAGTTAAATCTTACGAGATGGTGAAACAATGGCACTGCTTAGGAAACTGACCAAGTTGGAAAACTCACTCCTGCAGTTTTTTCAAATGCACGGGTTTCTTTATGGGTTGAGAGACAGTAAACGTAGTCTTGGGATGACTATTGAAAATGGTCAAAAATTGGATAAAATCTGCTCTTTCTTTGAAGAATCATCGCTGAATGCAGGGAGTTCAAGAGGATTTTCAGAATGGTCCGATGTGCCTGAATTTATAGTTCCGGACTTTTTTTTTGGATTACAAGTGCCCCTTCAAGAACTGAAGTTAATGTTGCTAAAGGAGGATATAGATCCGGTGCTAGTCCTTTCTGCTCCTGCTGGCTGTGGGAAGACTACTTTAGCAGCTAAGCTTTGTCAAGAGGAAGATATCAAAGGTAGGGATTGTCACACCTCCTTTTCACTACACCCCCGGAAGGGTATAATAAAGGGAGTTTTTCCAATTAAAGGACAATCAACACGGGATTTATTATTTAAAAAGATTCAGAGTCGCCACTCGGGAGATTTATGGTGTCCCAAGTCACCCGTTCAAATCTCGTATCGAGGAAAGGGTTGACTCTGTATTACAGTCCGCGAATCAGAAATCTGGGTAAGGAATTCTGTTAACCCGAGAGAAGGTGTTAGGCACTCCCGAGTTCCGTGGTTCTAGCACGGTCGCTCAACTGCTATTATTGGCGTAATTATCTGATTTTAGTAACAATTTTAAACCTATGTGCATTTTTACTTTTAACCGCTTTTATTCATTTTTTAAAGAAGATTTAACATCGTCTAAAATATGTCTTTGGATCACGTCACATGAAATGCACCCGTAATCCGAAACACATTTTATTCAACGTTATAAGGATTTGGATTTGGGTCACATGAAATGCACACCAGAGTTTAGGAAAGTCAATTATTAAAATATGCGCCTAAAGCAATTACGCGTTTTTAGCTTTACGAGGGCCATGGAGTTTTGCTAAATGGCATACCTCGGATTCTAGGATTGAACAAAATTAATTGAGTGAGGGCCATGCAATTATCATTTTGTTCGGCATGGCGCACCCCGACTTTATTATTTTTAAAGGTACTAAATTTCGTAGGCCATGGCTATTCATATTATCTAATGTGTCATACATTCCCTAAGTGAGAGATGACCAATTACTAAGAAATGCAGAACTCTTTGTAATCCAAAATTGCTACTATATTAATTAACAACTGGTGAATAAATGCCCAGATTAGGCGCTTAAGAGGGATCTTAGGCATTTGAGCAAACGAAGAGAAGTCTGCTCATGGCCCAGTCCAACTAACGGCAATTTCTAAGAAAACAATTTAATTAAAGCAATTGTTTGGGCCTGGTTTGAGACCCAACAGCCTGACACGGGTGCCTGGCTGGAAATTCTGGAAGCCCATCGCGCTGGCCCAAATGAGAGGCCTGCAAATTTCGTTTCAAATGGACTCATGGTCCAAGGCCCCGTAGGATAGCTCAAATCACAAGCCCAAGTGTCTATACACCCACAAGGAGAAAAATGGGCTTGCCTGCAACCCAGTAAAACAAATGCAGCAATGCTGAGCTACACCCTTAGAATATTTGGGCCACACGCTGCAGCCCAATTTGTGATCCAACACACACAAACAATTACAACCACAATGCTTTTAAAAATTCCAGAAAAAAAATTAAGACTAAAACTAACTATCCTTAAGCATGATCAAAATATGTTCTAACTTTTAAACAAGAGCATGCACGATTTCAATAATAGCCAGACCCAACATAGATTCCAATCGAAAATTTAACACTCTGGCTTATACTCATCATTTCAGTAAAATCAGTAATGAATACAACAGCATATGCTAAATTCAAATTTAGATGAAATAGATACGAGCAAGCATGAACTAATTAAACCCTACAGTCCCCAAAATCCTATTCAAAACATGCTACACTAACATCAGTTCTATTCAGCCATTAAGATACTCCCAAAGCTTTAAACACTATATACCATTTTATGTCCAGAATTATTTCCTAAAACAAAGAAAAAACTAAATAAACCAAATGCTTTAGTAGAGTCTCTTGTCAACTAATCCATACAATTAGAAAGGAGATCTAAGAAATGACACACTTAAACACAGGTCTTAGCAAATTCAGAATCTTTTTTGAGTAGACATAATTAATTCAACTCTCAACCAAACATATGTCATTCAGAATAGCAAAATACAGGACAGTAGAAGGAATACAGCTACAAACTAATGGTACTGTAGCAAAACACTTAGAACTCCAAGCTTTCATTTCTCAATCTTCAATCAAGTGTCACATTGTATGAGTTTCAGGAGTGTGTACCTGGATACAGCCAAAATAATTACGAAAGCTCAGCAATTGAAGGGGCAATTTCAGCAGTAATTGACCAGCAAAACAACCAGTAAAATCAGCTTCAAACAAGCATAGATGTGCAGCAATCAAATTCTATTACCCGGCAGACTTTGAGATGATTTTGCTAACCAAATTCAAACCATTTTATGCTCAAAATGTGACAGAATTATTTCAGGAAGTTGAGAAGAAATCAGAATTACTGAAGATCTAATGAAACAGTAAAATCTATATTTCTGTGTATCAATTAAAGTGTTCCCAGCTGCTAAAAATGAAAGGGAAAGGGTCCTTATATAGGCACACCTAAGGTAGCCCAGGCCTGACTAAACAATACCCTTTTTACCCCTCTTTTTTTATTATTTTACCCCTTTTACCCCTCTAAAATATCTGAAAATCCTTGCTCCCTAACAGACTAGTGCTCACCTTATCTTCTAGAGCCTTCTTCCTAACATAAATGATTCCCTCCCAACTTGAAATCCCAACCTTTGCCCAATCAGTTATTACAACCCCTGCCCCTTCCTTTGAGACCCCTAAAGTTTCCCTTTTGTGAAATTAAGACCCTAAGAGTTCCTACTAATTAACAAACTAGGACAAACAACAAAATTCAGAATCAAAGAAACAATGAAGATCAAGCAAACAAATACTGATTCACTTTAAACCTGTAACTAAATCTGCATCTATTTATCAATGAACTTGAAATCAATATGACACACACGGGAACACTTAAATCTATTATGAATTCAGAATTCCTAACAAGAAACTAATATGCATAATTTGGATTAACTGGACACAATACTAATAAACCCTAAGTACTAACATGCCGCCATTTCAATTTTCCTAACGAACAAACAACTAAGCAGAATCAACCTAAGAACTACCAAAATCAAAAATGCTGAT